ACAATCGAGACGAAGTCCAGCTATTTCGTGCAGGCAGATATGTTAGCAGTAACGAAGCAGCGTGGAGAATTTTTACATTACCGTTGCACGAAAGATACCCCACTGTCACGCACCTTGCAGTTCATTTACCTAACGGAGAGCGAGTGTACTTTACACAAGGCAACTTTCAGGATAGAGTAGTATCACCACCAAAAACAACACTCACTGCGTTTTTCCAATTATGCGAGAGTGACAACTTTGCCAGAACTTTGTTATATAGTGAAGTACCGCGATACTACACTTGGAATATATCCAGAAAAGAGTGGAAACGCCGTTTACAGGGAACAGCTGTTGAAGGCTGGCCGGGTGTTAAAGCAGCTGACGCATTGGGTCGAATATATACTGTGCATGTCAGTAATTTTGAATGTTTTTGCTTGCGGATATTACTCAATGAGGTACGGGGTCCTACAAGCTTCCAGATGCTTACAACCGTGAACGACGAAGAACAAGCGACAATCAGAGAAGCATGTGAGGTAAGAGGTTTGTTAGAAAATGACAACCATTGGGATGATACTATGGCCGAAGCCGTTCTTTGTCGCTCTGCAGCTAAATTGAGAGAATTATTTGCGATTTTAGTGAGCACATGTGGTTTATCGAATCCACTTAATTTGTGGAATAAATACAAGGCCGATTTATCAGAAGATATAGCGTATAGGTTGCAAGATACCCACAACGATATTATTTACAACGAAGCCTTAGTACTCATTGGAGATAAAATGCTTACCATATCTGGTAAATGCCTTGCAGATTTTGGCCTACCTACACCACAGAGAAGAGGAGAAATATCAAGCGATGTTGCACGAGAGCTTAGCTACGATATACCAGTTTTACAATCGCATGTCCGTGAAACAACACCGAAACTGCTTCCTGAACAACATGCAGTTGTCAATGTAATATTAAATAGACTAAGTAGCGGAGAAGGAGGACTTTTTTTACTGGACGCTCCCGGCGGCACAGGAAAAACATTTGTGCTAAATCTATTGCTAGCTCACGTGCGCATGAACCGCAATATAGCCTTGGCTGTAGCATCCTCGGGTATTGCTGCAACGTTACTTGACGGCGGTCGTACAGCCCATTCTGTCTTCAAACTGCCGCTTAATCTTGCAACCGAGGATACACCAACATGCAATATTTCCAAAAACAGTGCGCGAGGACGTCTTTTACAGCAATGCAAACTCATAGTATGGGACGAATGCACAATGGCACACAAACATGCCCTCGAAGCGTTAAACCGCAGTCTTCATACATTCGTAGCAATCAGGCATTAATGGGAGGTGTTATCGTTTTGCTTGCAGGCGATTTTAGACAGACCTTACCTGTTATTGAGAGACGCACACCTGCCGATGAAATCAATGCATGCATGAAGTCATCACCATTGTGGGTAAGTACAGAAAAGCTTCACCTTACATGCAATATGCGAGTTCAGCTGTACAACGACCATGCATCAGGTTTATTTGCAAGTAAGCTACTAGAGATTGGAGAAGGTCGCCTAAATTCAGATTCAGAAGGTAAAATTCTGTTCCGTAATGAATTTTGTACTCTAGTAGAGACAGAAAATGATCTTATTAAGAAAGTTTTTCCTGATCTTGGGAATNTAGTAGAGACAGAAAATGATCTTATTAAGAAAGTTTTTCCTGATCTTGGGAATAATTTAAAAAACACACAATGGTTACGAATGGGTGAATAAAATAAACATACAAATTATAGACACGATAACAGG